AGTGTAATATAAGCTTGAACACTGCTGAATCATGTGAAAAACTGTGCATTGTCATTTCTACTCCCTCTGATGGTTTAGCACTTGCCTACTTCTACTTTGTTAATCTACACATTGTTTTCAATTAAAAAAAAAAAACACACATACAAATATTTTCATATTATATTCAACAAATATTTATTTTTACCTATGCGGAAAACTTTTTTTTTAGTTTTGAATAGAGTTTTCATCCAAAAGAAAAGGGTAAACCTCATTTAAGTTTTTTTTTTCTCTGATTGAGGAAATTCCTCTTTTTCCTCCTGTGCCATAAATGCACCAGGAAGTAAAAGAAAGCCTGCACAAACAGTAGCTGAAACTGACCATATTTTCATAAAAATGTCTTATATAATAGAAAAATATAAGAAAATTAACTGAAATACCTTCATAAAACCCATCCTCATCCATATCTCCATATACATAGAGGTATTTTCCTGCCACCAGGGGAAGTTCCGCCTCAGGGTTTTCATTTGGTCCATCAAAGGGATTATAACTAAGACAATAGGACAACACAGAGAGTGAGAGACAGTAGGAAATCACAAAAGTTGTTGCCATTTAGTACAAATAAACTACTATAAGTAAAAGGCATCATGTTCTTTGTCAATGGATGTGACTGAAATGATTTCCATGACTTAATAAACCTTACAAGAAACACTGCTCCTGAAGTGTGAGCTATAGATAATTTTACTCATGTTAAAAATAAGAGCTACCAATTGAGTCTTTCAATGGTACAGTTGTAAACAAATATTTATAATAACATTCTTGTATTTTATTGTGTTTATTAAAAATGTAATTATTGCAATAAATTGAAAAACTGCAATCAGTAATGTTAAAGGAGAACTATGAGATGAGTGATTTCCACTCACCTCATAGTTCTAGCCGACCTGTGACAATGAGACTGTCACAGGTCGGCTCAGTAGATCGGGAGGTGAGCGAACAGATACCGGGTTCACTCACCTCTCGATCCTGTCATGGCTCTCTGCCGTGACAGAGGAGGGGCTGGATTCCCCTCTCCCCGCTCCGATCCGCCAGTGCTGACTGGCGGAACGGACGGGGAGGGGCGGGTACAGCTGGCTCTGCCTCTAGATAGCCAGAGCCAGCTGTCACTCACGCAGCTGGGCGGATCTCGACATCGATGTCGGGATCCGCTCCGGCTGCGGCGTCTCAGTATACCGCGAGCTGTGGCTCGAAGGAACTGAGCTTAGGGTAACGGGAGGACGCTAGTTTGTGTCCTCCCATTACCCTTAGGAGAACTATGGGGAAAAACACTGACCCCATAGTTCTCCTTTAAATAAAAAAAATGACATTAAAGGGATAAACAGAACTTTTAAAATGGCAGAAGACATATTGCATATAAAGCAACAATCGGAATAGCTTTGTTTATATTCAGTCCAACCTATGATAGCCATACTAATAGTGCTATTATATTTAAATGGCTGGGTGACAATATGAGGTTTCACGTGCACTGTCGGCAATATTTGGGTATAAGCTATCTTTTGTGAGAGGACTATACACAAACAAAAGTGTGTCCTTATTCTGTGCATGACCTCAGTGTCCATCAGGATCAGAGGTTTCTGTTCTTTTAGACTTTATTGATCCTTTAGATCCAATAAAAATAAACACACACAAAAACTTAACTGCTCATGCAGGGCAAAGCAACAGGTTTAATTTATGGCAGTCCCACCAGCTGCACATACCTTTCACTCCTCTCTTCAGCCATCAGGATCATGTATAAAGGGGCATGCGACTCTCTCCCCTCCTTCCCATGTGAACGTTCTGGTGCTTGGCCATTTTTGCACCCGGCACTGTCACATGGGTGGGGATAGAGTCCCCAGACCTGTGAAAGCTCCAAGTTGGAACTTAAACAGAGCTAATATTTCCTGACTATTGGCAGCCGATAGGAGTGAAGGGGGAGCCAAGGGAAGGTAAGTATGTGCAACTGGGGCAGCTTTAAAGTGAACGTGTAGGGACAAAGCACAGGTTCACTTTATGTTTTAAGCTATATATGGGATCTAGGTAACTAATGCAAAACTATCCAGCTCTAAACTCAATTATGATAATGATAATATATATATTGTATATTAATGCTGTATTACTAGATGTACCATGTGCATACCTGTCAGGAGATAGTAATTTGGTCATTACCTGTAACGTGCAATACAAAGGTGGACTTTCCCAGAGTATCTTTGCTTTGAGGTATTCGTATTCTGTTCATTATCCATCTGAAGGAAACAGAACACTACTTTGTTATCTAGCCTGTCTACGTGGCTTAAGACATTTTTGAACAGAGTAGGGAAGGGTTAAACACTTTATTTTTTACTGTCTCTGTCGTATTGGAAAGATTTCTCTTTGCTTCCTGCCTTGGAGATTCCACAGGAAGTGAGGAAATCTCTACAAACTGAGGTGAATTCCCTTTTATACAGTTGTCACCTGGACAGGTGTTGCCATTGGAACATTTGCTCCCACTTCTTGTTTTGGTGACAACTCTAAATTTTGGGATTCCCTCTCCTTTTCTGTTTGGGTGACAATAGTCACCAGAATACCTGGGGAGGGTAAATCCACCTAGTGGGTGCACAGACAGGAAAAACTCTTTAGAGGTGTTCTAATCCTTCTACATTCTATTTGAAACAGTAAATAAATAGTAAATAGAACAGTTTTGGCTTAACCCTGATATATCACCTAATAGTACAATGGATTGCCTTATTAAAGCCCACCACCTATAAATCTCAACAAAGTGACAGCTCTGTGATAGGTTAACTATAATGATTGGCTTTAAATGTCATCTTGCATTCTTACTTTATAGAATATTCTTGAATGCCAAAAATTTAATGTGAGGTATCAGTCTACATGCAGCACCCAAGGTATGTGCGGCCAGCTGCTCTATGAGGGTAATGCTGTCCCATTATGCTCGTGTATACATTATTCATTTATGATTTCTTGTGCTATTTGTTGCCACGAGAATTTCTTATAATTATAGCAATAGCTGCCTTTGGTGGGTTAAAGCCCATTTACACCTTTGCGGAGGTGTTTAAAAAAAAAAAACATATGCCAGCAATGTACACCAAGTGTACATGAAGCAGGCATATGCGGTTGCTGTACAATAACACAGAAACATATCCTCTTCATATCCTCAAGGAAATGGCAGCCTCTGTGTTTTGCGAGGGACTGTGTATATTACAATTGAGCCCCCAGACAGTGTATCGTGTCCAAAGGCAGAGCTGGTGTTTAGTGATCATGTTACACAGAATCATAGGGAGGGGGCAGCTGATTACAACCTAATTACCATCCGACCCCCGGGTGTCAGACTGAATTTCCAGTGGAGAAAAATTTTGAATTTCTAGGATTCAGGCCTAATAAAACCTTGATAAAAAATGAAGAAAGCCGCCAATGCGAGTCATGTGCACACATATACACCATCACTGCACCGCTACATTACCACAATAAATGCTAATCACTTGCAAAGGTTGAAATGAGTGGGCAGGCTATAAACATTTAAATATTTGCATGTTATTCACAATCAGTAAATAATCTTTATAATATGCCTTCAATGACCTCTTTGCTTACAGCCACTGTAGAGTCATCCTCAAAATTCATAAGAGAAGCATAGAAATTGTTCAAATCTGCATCTGCTCTGTTTGCGTTAGAGATGTGAAGGGTGGAAGGCTGCCCAGTTACTGTTGGGAAGTAGGGACTGAGAGGAAGTAAAAGTAAAAAATTAGATGCTTTGGCTGCAAGTTTGAGAATAAAATACTTCACAGGTTCTGCAGCTACAGACGTCAGTAAGAGCCCATTCACAGCAGGGTGCTCCTCTGAGCTGTGTGTAATGCATGCCAGTCAAGTCACACATTAACCTGTGTTGTGTTCAGGCAGCCCATTCTTTTGGAGTTTGGTTAGCGTAGAACACCACAATGCACAGTGTGCTGTAGTGTTGGGATGGTGCTTTGGGGTAAATGGCATTGTGCACTACCTATGGCTAATTTAGTAAACTTACATCTGATTCAAACCTGTGCCTTGGGCTGCCAGATCGGGATCTTGACAGGAAAATGGGCTTTACGGATAGTTGCTCCGGCTTGTCTCCTGTGATTTGAAGAGGGCGGATAAATTCAGAAATTAAAGACCGACTACCTGTGGTACTTTCATGTCCTGTTTAAAAGAAAATGCAAATAAAATTATACAAGGTTTAACAATCTGATATTTTCAACCAGATTATAAAGACATTAATACACCTTATGGAAATTGTGCTATTAAAAAAAATCTGCAGTTTATTTGTAAACCTTCTCAAATTACTTTACGCACGGAATAGTCAATGCATATCTGCTATTCATGGGCATGACATTTCTCTTGCACGTAAAAGAGAACTATGGCCAAACCATTTTTTGACGTAGTTCTCTTTAGGATCACGGGAGCATATTTACTAATGTATTCCTGTGATCCAAAATCAGCGTCTAGGGGACTACTGCCCAATAGATGCTGACAGGGCAGTCACGCTGCAGCTGAGATGGATCCTGACAATTTTACCGGGGTCCACCCCACTGCCTAAATGACAGTTGGCTCTGCCACTCTAGAGTCAGAGCCAGCTGTGCCAGTCACCTCCCCGTCAGTCCCTCCAGTCAGCGCAGGAGGAACGGAGAGGGGGGACTCCCTGCGGGGAGGGGTGATTGACAGTTACTGCTCTCTGCAGGTAGAAGATTGTGAACTGAGCAATCAGCAGTATGTGATCACTCAGTTCTCGATCAATAGAACAGTGGCGTAACTACCACCATAGGGGCCTGAGGCAGAGGGGGGCTCGGTCCAGGGCCGGATTAACATAGGTACATGTGGAGCTCTGCTCCAGCGTCACCCCTGCAAATATGCCCGGCCAGGAGATCAGAGGAGAGCTCGGGGACATGGGCTCTGCTGTCTACAATTAGGACCGGGGAGAGGAGGGGGCGGGGCTTCAGGTGGATTCCAGGTGGCGAGGTGGGAATGGCACATGGTGCAGACCTCGTACGCGTACCTGGTGGCAGTGTGGATCCTGGTGGCCAGCCAGGCCAAGATCAGTATCAACAAAAAATGCATGGAAGCGCACAACTGTAATATGATCAAGTTTCTCACTTGCTAACTATATGGAAAATGGTGTGCAAAAACTCTTCAACAACCGGGAGAGGAGCCCCGTGTAACGTGTTTGGCAAAATTATACATAGAAGAGCACAACAACCTAAGAAATTGTTTAGATGCTAAGCATCCTATAATGACTAGCTGTTTAAATAAATTGGGTTGATATATAACTCACGGTTGTGATGTCATAGATGGACATGCACTCCCTGCAGTCCCGTAGGTCTTTTCAAGCACCAGGGGATACACCCAAACATTTTCTATTCGACAATCGGGTGGGCATCTTCCAATGTAAAAAGCCCAGATGTCTCACGTGTCAGTTTATCCAACATGGACAGTCCCAGTTTTTTGACCACCTCAAAAAGGTACATCACATTAAGCAGTTCATCACATGCTCCCATGACCATGTGGTCTACGGGCTTACCTTAGTTAGGACCGCACTATAAGAGGTGCCTTGGCGCGGCAGTGCGGCTTACACGTCCTTTGCAGAAGACGTGTATCCAAACCTCTGTCATTGTCCTTAGTGGTGAGACAAGTTGTTTTACATGCTAGTTTGTGAGTGTGCCATGATGCCTTTCTACTGTTCTACTGTTCAAAGCCCATTTCGTGTGCACCTTACTGTATAACTGGTAACAAATTGTTGAGTGCGGTTGTCGTTTGTTTTGCTTTACCGATTTGGTGCAGCGACGCATGGGGTTTCTCAGCTGCCAATGGGATGTGCGGGATCCCTTGTGTGTTTCTGTACCTTTAAGGAGGTGGGGCGTCCTCCTGACAGGCCTGCACCCAATTTGATATCTTCTGCCCCATGTGCTCCAAGATGGAGACTCTCATAGTTTAGAGTTAGGACCGCACTATAAGAGGTGCCTTGGCGCGGCAGTGCGGCTTACACGTCCTTTGCAGAAGACGTGTATCCAAACCTCTGTCATTGTCCTTAGTGGTGAGACAAGTTGTTTTACATGCTAGTTTGTGAGTGTGCCATGATGCCTTTCTACTGTTCTACTACGGGCTTACCTGCCCCTGTGGGTTGATGTATATTGGCCGCACCATACGCCCATTACGGGCTAGGATTGGGGACCATAGGCCGATTTGGTGCAGCGACGCAAAAAAGGTTTCTGACCAATCAACCCCGAAGTGCCCTCAAGACTGTTGATTCACTTCCCAACGTCTAACCCTATCACGGCATTCTTTCAGATCTGACTCCTCCCCCCTGTCAGTTTCAAAAGTACTCATTCTCCCGCGGCTGACACCGCTCCAAGGCTTGACAAAGAGGGTCACCCTCGAAACGCGTAGCCGCCAATTGCCAACTGATCTCACTTGAACACATCACCCCGGACTCAAGAGCACTGACGAACACGCTCCAGCGTTTACGCCGCACACCATACGACTACACACCGCCCAGTGCCGATCACAGCAGCCTGACAGTCCTCCCCCTCCTGCTCTAGTAGCCGCGGCTCGGCCCGGCCAGCCGAGGACGCAGCCTGGAGAGACTTGGGGTTTATTTAGATCTTAGACTATTTAGATCTTGACTGTCCAGATCTTTCCATCCAGAAACACTTCGCTGACCGCACGGGACTGCAGGGAGTGCATGTCCATCTATGACATCACAACCGTGAGTTATATATCAACCAATTTATTTAAACAGCTAGTCATTACAGGATGCTTAGCATCTAAACAATTTCTTAGGTTGTTGCGCTCTTCTATGTATAATTTTGCCAAACAAGATCAGTATCAGTGAGTGCGAGTGTGAGTGTGTGTGTGTAAGCGATCCCATCTATTTGTGACAGTCACATCTTCCGTGCCTTTGTGTGCTCTACTCTCATCACACCCTCTGATGTCTACTAAAGGTTAATTATCATACTCTACCTGTACCCTATTCTATTACACCCCTAACTGTACCCTCTATGCCCAGTACTGTACTCTCTGATTATACCCAGCACTGTACCCTCTGGCAATGCCCAGCACTGTGCCCTCTAACTATACTCCTCACTGTACCCTCTGACAATGCCCAGCACTGTGCCCTCTAACTACACCCAGCACTCTGCCCTCTAACTACACCCAGCACTGTGTCCTCTGACTTTGCCCAGCACTGTACCCTATGACTATGCCCACCACAGAGCCCTCTGGCTATACCCAGCACTGTACCCTCTGACTATACCCCTCACTGTACCCTCAGTCACTTTGGCACCCAAGGCAGAGGACCCAGGCAGAGGCAGTCCTCTATTCAGACATATTAAAAGGTCACTCCCTGGTGTCTCTCAGGGCTCCAGTGAGGAGCGAGCAGCCGCCTGAGTAGAGAGCTGCATCTGCTGTGGCCTGCAGCCACCAGTTCTACTCTGCGGACCCCTGGTGAGAGACCGCACTGACCACCTGAGAGCCCGCACAGCCCACCTGAGAGCCCGCACAGCACTCCTGAGACCCTGGAGACATCAGAGCCTTTGTCTCCATCTTCTGCCAGGCAGCTGCAATGTAGCAAAGCAGCGTTGGAGTGAACTCTTTGGTTCTGACATCAGAGGCAGCAGGAACGAGCTGAAGAGAAGGAGATGATCGGAGACAGCACGAGCACAGGAATGTGTTCTGGAGGTAGGTAGTGTGGTGGGAATTCTCCTTTAATATTCAAAAATTATATGTCAGACAAGTTGTCATATTTATTGGATTATGGTATCTAGTTTTTTATCTAATTTTCTTGTTTTCTGGTCTGAGAAAGTCATCATATAGTTTTTTTGAAACCATCCATCCATCCTATCCATGAAATTTGGCATTATTTAATATTAGGCAGCACAAAGCTTAATCCTGATATGGGCAGTACAGTTATGAGTGACTGTACTACACACATAATCATTTGGCTTAATAAATAAGCCCAAATTATTTATTCTTAAATGTGACACGACAATTGACAATAAGTAAACTCAGGGAGACCAGCAATGCTTCCAGTGGAAAGGTTTGTAAATAAACCTCTCCAAAAGAAGAATAGACTTTTAGGTATGTCATATTTGCATGGTCAGCTTGTGAGTGAATGCCTCACCTGCTGGGTTTTTGAAGCATTACATAGCATCTTCTGAACCAGCACAGCCATGTGTGAAGTGTTTATGGGCCTCATCAGCCAGAGATTGATAGAGCTGGTAAGCATTTAGAGTGTTGAGGCTTAATTTGATTGTATTTTGCTTTCTCTGGTTCCTTATTGCAAATTAAATATTTGACATCACTGGGTCTCTGTACTTCTTCATTTGCATTTGCATTCAGACCACTCTAGGTAATGCTACATGTGATCCTGAGCCTCATTGGTTGAAATAATTGAAATCAAGTGAATGAAAGGTGTAGGCCAGGAACAGTATTGTTGTAAGCCTTCCCATGTGCACCCTGCTATAAAGGCTGGTTATAGATTCATGCGGTTGCCATCTTTTTCTCACTTCATGATCATTGTCACACGTAGGCTCGAACTATGAGGATGAGTGAATGCCACAGTGAATGCCTGCCGTAATCAGAGCTAAAGGTGGTCCAACTAAATCTTAGAGAGTGTGACTTTTTTTTCTGGGACAGGCAATGTATGTTAATAACCTTGTAATTTTCTTCTAATGTACACTTATTCTTATAAGTTTATTGTGATAAAAATTGCTCAGCTTACACAGGTGAAGCTTTGAGGGTCAGATGGGGGCCCTTATACACACTAGGTGACAGTCAGATCATGTCTCAGACAGAATAGACATAAACATCTAAGGCTGGAATGAGGATTTGAATACATTCCTATTATCCTAGTAGCAAGATATGGAGCAGAGGCTCATGGATTGAGTTCTGCATGGGTTCCATAATCATTTTTTTAACAGGAGCAGACAACATCTGGAGCAGCTGTGCTTGGCAACCAATCCGCTTCTCTCTTAAGTTTGGACAGTTAAGATTTGAAAATGAGCGAGAGAAGCTGATTGGTTGCTATGCACAGCTGCTCTAGATTTTGTCTGTTCCAGTGTTGATCAATTCCCTTCGGTATGTGTAGTGCTTATTTGTGAAACTACTGCTTTCTTCAATACATTTCTTTAACTGCTGCAACCACTTGACTTTTCTCTATATTCAGATGCTGAATAGGACAACCTTGTTGCATAGAACTATTTGCCTACAGCTGAGGTGCTGTTACACCTGAAATATACATATATATATTTTTATACAGTATATCATGGGTTAACAGGTAAAAACTCTCTATTTCTAATACTCTTTTCACGAGTTTGTACTGCATCTATGACTAGCTGTTATGCATTGACCATACATTAGCCAGTGAACCACAATATAATTAAAAATCTACACTAGTATGAAATGCAGTTATTTAAAATTACATCACTCCAATAACTCATGCTGTAAGTCTGAGTCTTGGGAGCCAAAATATTAGAGGACAATTCTGTAATTAAGCTGCTGAGTCACAGAAAAATGCTGAACATTAAATTAGAGGATAGCTTGGAGGACAAAGCTGTACTTTAAGTTGTTCGGTTTTTGAAACAATTTCCTCTCCACCATTTTCATTTCACAAAACGCCAATGCTCAACACTCAAGTCAATGTAAAATAGATTAAACACATTTAAGAAGTCTCACTGTGACTTGAAAACAGCACTAATCTGGGTTGCTGCTGTATCTATCACTACAGGCTAGGGCATAAACATATGTTTGGTTTGAAAGATTTGGTCTAGTAATAGGCTGTTCCCTTTCCCAGCTGAGTAAGCTACATTTTTATAATGGTTATTGTCATGTTACTGGCTGACAGTTCATCAGTACCAGGAGCTCAGGAAAAGGTGGCAGCAATTGCTATATTATTTTAATGAAGGTGTCTATTCTGTAGACTAGAGGTGCACCGAAATGGATATTTTAAAACCGAAACGAAACCGAAATAAAAAAACCGATACCGAAACCGATAACGAAAATGTTTTTTATTTTAATTTTTTTCAAATATTTTTTTTATAAACTAAATTATTGGTGTGTGTATTTTTCTTACAAGATAATGATAGAAAGTAGGATGATCAAAAGCTTTCATCAGCTTTATAATTTTTACTCTAAATATAGTCAATTCAAAGAGAGTTGTTCTGTGTGGATTGCATCAATTTCTTAGGGAAAGTAGTGGATAGCTTCTGGATAGGGAGAAGTATTAACAGTGTACATCTTGACAGAAAATATAGGTAAAAAAAGTATTTAGATCTATGGCTCAATACCTTCCTACACAATGGACAACTCCCCTCCTTACCCTTGTTACAAAGTTCCTGCTCCTCTGCTCCTCTAACACTCTATCTTGGGTTAAATAATGACAGACGTTATCACCTGTTTTCTCAATGGACCATCCCTT